TTCCTTCCTTTTTTTTTACATTTATTAAAACCAGTTCGATTGCTGTTTTTACAGCCCCGCTTCCCTCTTTCATTCATTATAGTTTCTTATCTTGGCAGGCAATCAGAACTGCCAGGCAGCCAGTCCATTATGCACATATGAAGCCCATCACTCCAACCGGATTGGCCAATTCATCAAACATTTATCTTTTGCCCTGTGAACAGCGTGTCAATTTGCCTGTCACTCCCAAGCTTTCGCAGCCTCTTCGGAATAAAAACTACTTTTCCTACACCGGAGACAGCTTTGATGCTAAATCTCCCCTCTTTAACTTTCAAACAAGGTCTAAAGTCGGATTCCAATCCTCGCACAGGAAAAGACCCCAAACAATGGGATCCGCAGCCATGTGCTGTTGACCGAACCCGAGTCGTTCTTTGAGACCGAGCCGTGGTGCTGGTTGCAGATCAGCTGGTGAGTATGTACGGCCTAGATCGCCCGTGGCGGTTCTGGGACCCAGTTTTGGCTCCAGACACATGGGTGACACTGTGGAGCCAAGGATATGAGAGAGACTAATATCAAAGGATGATCAGAGCTGCTCTGTCAAGAACAGACACACTGGGGACTCAAAAAAGAGAGCAGAGAAGAAAAAGGCCTTTTAAAACCGGCGAGCAAACAAGGGAATTACTGGCCATAGCAAAGGGAAATATCAAAGCTGGGAATATCATACAGAATGAGGCTTTTGCTAAATGGGATCACTGCTGGAACGCAGACTCGGAATACAAAGGCAGCGTGAGTGTGTTTGAATGAATGCTGTGTTGCGGTTAGCACTGTTTGCTGACTTGGCAGGTGTATCTCTGAATTCTCTTTCCTTTTCTCTTTCTCTCTCTGTCTCTCCCTCCCTGGACATGTGACCTGTGAAAGCTGGCTGACTAATGGCTGCAGTAACTGACATTTCAACCAATAATCACAGAGTGTTTTTTCCCCGTTGTCAGCAGCAGTTTATCAATCAGCATGTCCGCATTAGTATTTGTCTATCGATCCATCCATCTCTGTCAAGCCATCTCTGTGTCATTGTCTGAGCTCTTGTCCTCTTGTTTGGCTTCTTTTGAGGATAGTCTGCATAGTAATTTGTTTTACAGGCCCTGGCTTTGAAAGGTTGCTTAACAGCATTTACATGGCGGCCTTTTGAGGAGGCGTGGAATTAGATGTTCTCAGTTAGCACTTGTTTCGCATGTCAGCAAACTGTCACCATCTACACGGGATCTTTTTAGAGTAACCTTTGGTAGTAATGTAATTGTTTGACCTTCTATCAACTTTCTCTGTCAGTATTTCTCCTCCTCATTCCATTAGGCGTTATGTTTAATAATTGGATTACGAGACATCCCGATTTTACGAGCAAGAGTTAACCTCAAGATGCTGTTTGTCCCAATAATTAGCTGCATCATATAAGAGCTAGTGTCTGTATCTCTGTAAAACTACACCTGTCACAAAAACATGAAGACACACCGTGATTTTGTTCCTCGTTTTCGTGTTGGTGGTTTAATGAGAGGAATATTTCCACAAATGTGTCGCCACGTGGAGTAATGAAAAAAAATCATCCTAGATAAAGTTTTGATGGTACATTTTTTTACAGAGATAACAAAAACATCTGTCACTAGATTTGATCGTTTATATCACTTAGGTTCAGACTATCATTCTTACAGTTATTTCTTAAACCGTGTATTGTGTTGCGTTTCATTATGAAGTTCCATACTACATTTTATTTACTCAACTGCACACTTGGTGCTAGGTGAGTTTCAATTGTGCACCCTGTTTGTTGCTCAATCGTCCAAATAATATGCTTGATGTGCCCAAAGATCAGATTTATCCAAGCTATTTTAATCTAAAAATGTTTTTAGTCTTTTTTTCTTACAAACTGTTATGAATGTAAACGTTGTAAAGCACTCGTGTGTCGCCACCACATTAGAGTGCCCACATTATCCACCAAGCCATCTCTGACCTGTATTTAATTTGTATCATGGTCATTTGGTCGCCTTATTTATCCTGTGTAATCATGTGTTTTTTCCAGCGCAGTATGTTGTTTAGCAGCTAAATCTCCTGTTTTGTGAGCTGTGTGCTAACTCAGGCAGAGAGAGGCAGACACGCCGCACTGGCAAACACGTTGAGATATTTACTGTGACAATGAGCTTGATCATAATTATCTTAACAAGGAGTGGGTTCATTGGCGTGGCTCGTTAAATCTATCTCTCTTTCCTTCTCTCGTGTCTTCCCGTCCATCTCTCTCCTTCTCGCCTTAGATCAGACGGCGCTCCCTGCGTTGTGCTATTCTGTCATTGTGGTGTGACTTTGAAGATGGTGGTGAAAATGTGCAGTCAGTTTCGGATTCCCCATGGGGACGAGGTGTGAGTCGGAGAGGTTCCTACCTGAAAGTGTTTGTGTGTGATTGAGTTTTAGATTGCTTGTGTATTGACGTTTTTTTAGTTTTGCAAGTGCCTGTTCAGGATTTACTCACCCTAAAGTTGTTTTTTATTGTCTGAAACAAGTGTCATACAACAAAATGAACATGGTAAGCAAACTTTATAAAAAAAAAGGTCCCACTTTATATTAGGTGGCCTTAACTACTTACATTTAAATGAATCATTTGATACAATGCACTTAATGTGAACATACATGGTTTTACATTGTAATTATACTTTAAAAATATGTGCATGTAATTACATCTGTAATTAATTTCTGTAATTACATTTATATATTACACAGTTGACCCATCCCTTACACCTTAACCCACTTTTAAACCTGCCCATACCTCCAAACATGTCCCTAACCTCACCCGTATCCCACCTTAATAGCAGCAAAAGTGTTTTGCAATACAATATGAACACAATAAGTACATTGTACTTTTTGATGCAAGTACATAGTAGTCAAGATGCAGGAAGCATAAATTACAAATTGGTGTCATTAAAAGTAGTGCACCATGTGCTCTATATTCTAGGTGTTTTAAAGTGTGACGTAGCCAAATGTTGCATTGTAAATTGAACATGCAAGATTATCTGTAAATAAAAACCAAATATAATATAGAATATGAACTGTGAACTGTGAAAACGAGCTGCATAAAGATTCTTTAACATTTCTCTCTTTGCATTCCACGGACAAAATAGCAAGACATGGGGTTTAAAATATATAGAAGCCATTTCTGCAACTTCATATCCTATACTTTTCATATGTCTTAGAATCTTTTTTGCACCACTTTTATCAGTTGAAGCAATTTTTTCTGTATTTTATTTTGTTTAATCTATCTTGTAATCTCACTGTTATATATATATTTTTTTTTTATTCTTAGGCAGAATTTGGCTTCCATAGTCAGGACTTGAGTGAATAAATATCAGAATGTTCATTTTTGGGTGAACTGTTCCTTTAAAAGCGTTTGGCAATTAATCATTCAGTTAGCGACACATTTTGAAAGTTTTCCTCTTCTGCACTGTACAGATGTTGCATATAATACAGCAGTGCAAATGTTTAGGCACAACGTGTTGTGGGCAAATTAGGGTTGAATCCCTGTTTGTTGTTGTGAATGTGATTTGGCCGCTCCCTTGGCTGTGAATTTAACTGATTAAATCACCTTTTGCACACAGCAGTAGTGACACGAAAACAACAATTAATAAGCAACCCCCCTGCGACGCATGGATGCCTCTTAACTAAGCGGCTAATAACATTACACCCGCCCAGAAACAGCCGAGGCAAACAGGTGGAGGGGGCTCACAGAACAGCTTTCATTTATCGAGCAGGGACATTTCTCTGAATTTTGCACAATTTGACAATACAAATAGAAAGTATTTCTCTTGCGGTTGGAGTTCTTGGCCGTCTGCTTCTATATGTTTGCTTTCTTCCTCTTGTAAAGCCCATAAAATTTCATCAGCCGTGTTCTACACGATAAGAGCGAGGTATTTGCATAACACAACAGAGAGTTTTATGACACTGACAGCAGGACCGATTTGTTCGTTGCTACAATAGTTGGGTGTCTTCCAAAGACAGACTTCACCTGGCTAGATATCAACATTTACTCCTGTGAGCTCCTTCCAGATTGCCTTGGGATTTTCCATGCTACTGTACCACAAAAGGTCTCACGACAACAAAATCCATACGTTTATGATATGCAGGTGTTATTTTTCCATTTCGCCCCAAGAGCGGCGAAGACTAGCATCTAGTCGCCATCGAATTGTTCTTTGCTCGAGGAGGCTGACAGACCTAAATGTCAATTAACCAAGGGTGGACACATTAACGTTGTAGGTTGTCAGCCTCTGCCATTTGAGGGATTAGAAACACACACCCCGGCTTTTATGCACCTTCCACGCCATGAACTTTGGAAGGCCCGACATTACCCTGAGCACCACCCTCCATCATGTTTATGCCAGCGCAGGGCGGGGAAGAGATCCAGACGGAGGGAAAGTCCTTGGGGACGGCGTGCCTGTGGGGGATTGGGTGTCACGATGGGGAATAAAGGGAGAACCGTCAAACTTTTCCCCCCGTAAAGCAGTTGTTTTTAACAGCAAGCGGCTCATCGCAGAAGTTGCAGAAGTTGTACTCATTCCGTTTGTGGCTAGGCATTATAGCTGTGCTGGGAAAATGATGGATGACGAGTTAAATTTGTGTTGGGGGAGTGAAGGTGAACTGTGACAGAGTTATTTATCTTGGGAATGGAGGGTTAGGGTCAGGCAAAGCTGGGTGCCTGAAGGCACAAGACATTGACAAATTCATCCCGCACACTGCATTTCTGAAGCCCTTTTGTTTTGAATCCTGGCTACTCACGAGTGACCCTCATCACTCACGCTGCCAGTGTGTGAAGGATGCCGCACCATGCCAGGGGATCTTAGCGCCACTAAGTCTTATCATTCACTCTCCTGACAGTCCCAAGCCCAAACTATTCCGGCCTGTGAAAGGGCCCGCCTGAAATATTTATTTCTGCACATAATGGCTGCCCAGATTTAGGGCCATATCATTTTTCCTCTCTTGCCTTATCATTGCAGGTCACTGACAGGCCTGAAAGCGTTCAGCCAACTGGAAGAGCTGATTGTGGACAACAATCTTCTCGGAAATGACCTCCAGTTGCCCAGGTTACCACGGCTCCATACCCTGACACTCAATAAGAACCAAATATCCTTTGCTTTTCAGCTCTCATGCTTGACCAAAATGACAGGATATGCTGCGAGTTTCTTTGCAATGCAGTGCAGGATCTCCTTTTGCCACACTGGGTCTCTTTAAATGATGTTATTGTGTTAAATTGAGCTCCTGTCTAATGGGCTTGCTTTATAAACTCACTTGAGTTTGTACCATAGTGACCTCTAGTGGAGGAGAGGCGAAAAAAAAGGAGAAAAAAAAAAACGGTACAGTCCCATGACTGAAGGATAAAGCTCTGTTAGACGTCCTTCTTAGAAACAGATCGTATCATATGGTGACCCGTATCGTAGTTGCAGTATGGGCCTCATGACCAGAAAGCAGAGCAAACAGAGTTTATTAACCAATATTTGAACTTATACATTTCCCAGTGTAGCGTTAGCTGTTTAATAAGCTAACATACCAGCCACCCCACGCCAAAAGTAAATCTTTGAAGCCAGACTGGAAATTTCAGGTTTCCGTCTATTGACATTCGGCAAATACATCACTGCGACATGTTACATTTAGTTTGTGTGATGAGACGCAAAGAGAAGTAAATGGTAAAAGTAAATGTGCTAGCCTGACGAAAATGTATGCTCTGCTGTTTGTCACTGGATGCTATCCATCTACATAATAATGACGCAGCCTCACCCTCTGTTCTCCAAACAGCTCTCCTCCGACAGAGTGTCAGCAGCTCAGACCCGAATTCTGCTGTGAAGTGGTCTGCACATGCTAATGGGCCAATCATTTACATCCTGTAGTGGCCTGCTGCCATTGAAATTCAAGTGCTGCATTAGTGTGGTTGTATTTTGACACGTTTCGGGCACCATTTTCCAATGACGTGAATGTATTAGTGATGAATTTGCTGTGAAGTGGCTGTTTGTTTCCCTGTGCTGGGTGGGGGGGGTGTCCATGGCTTAGGGAGTCACTAACTGTTTTTACCACAAGGCATCCATCATTTTGTCAATGTTTTTAATGTTCTGCACCAAGCCACCCAGGAAATGGGAAGAGGAACAGGAGAAGAGAACAGCCAAACTTGCAGCAAATGCCAAAATCTCACCCTTAAATTTATCCACTCTTTGTATTCTCAAGCACAATTGCTTTTGAGCTCTTTCCGAGGGTTTCGGACAGAGTTCTTCTGGCTGGCCAGGCCAGTGGAGAGCACAGAGTAAATGCTAATGTAATTAACAGCCTGGATTCCTTGACCTCTGCCCCGTGACACTTCACCGACATCGAGGCCCTGTTGGAGCATTTGGCGGAAGTGACGCCAGCACTGGAATACCTGAGCCTTCTGGGAAATGAGGCCTGTCCCAACCAACTGGTCAGCATGGATAAAGATGAAGACGACTATCAGAGATACAGGTCAGAACACTGTCTACACTGATGAACATGTACAGTACAAAGTGGTTTTGAATTTGAGACATTTGTTTCTGTGAAGTCTGTACCATACAGGGGTATCCAAAAATCTGACAAATCCTTGAAAATTTGGGCTTTTAAACTTGGAAAATTAACAACACTAAATTAGGAGTATTTTAATTTGAATAACATTTTAATTAGGAATAAATTCATGCTTTTATTTTAGCAAGAATGCATTAAATAGATCAAAATGTTATAACAGGTAAGACATTTATAATGTTACAACTGTTGTTTTGAATTTTCTGTTCATCAAAGAATCCTGAAGAAAAAATATATTGTGATTTCCACAGAAATATTAAGAAGCACAACTGTTTACCTTATTATGATCAACATTGATGATAATAAGAAATGTTTCCACCACCATATGAGCATATTAGAATGATTTCTGAAGGATCATGTGTGACAGAAGACTGGAGTAATGATGCTGAAAATTAAACTTTGCCATCACAGGAATAAAAATAAAATATATTCAAAATAGAAAGCAATTATTTTAAATTGTGATATTTAAATAATATAATGATTCAAAACTAAATAAATAAAGAAAGAAAAAATAAACTTTTGATATGTGTCTGTGTCCCACCATTTACTATAAAAGTTTGGGGATTTTTTTTTTCTTTTTTTTTTTTTTTTAGTTTGTTTTTCCCTCCAATTCAAACAAATATATTTTCAGTAGTGGTCTCAGACCTTTGGGCCTCGCTGTATATGAAATCTCTGGTATCCTAAAGCAATGAAGGCAATTTTTTAGGCACTCATGAATTTTTGTTTTGATATGTTTTTATTTCTGCTGGTAAAAAATTGAAATACCCCAGGAGTGTGTAGTTTGGCAACTTTCAGTAATCTTTTATTTGGATGAACGGCTGTTGCACAACACCATAAATCACATTGCACAAGCAAAGACTGATACTTTAGGCTATAACCACACTCCTCTTAAAGCTACTCACCTCCTTTTTTTCTTTTCGTAGACTTGCAAAATCGATTTCATGTGTGAATTGTGATAACCACAAATGAGTGTTTGCTATCCTTTCCTACAAGATGAAACGATGCATTCATTATCAAGCCCAGGCCTATGGGAGTGCAATGCCACACTATGTTACCACCATTTGTCAGGTTTTCAACATGAAACCCAGCGGTGGGAAGAAGGGAGGGAGAAGCACATTCTTTGTCTACCGTAGACCTAAGTGCATTTTTCTTGACACTGTGTTCAGTATGAATAATCATTTACTATACAGATGAACCCAATAGGCGCCACTCTCGCGCAATGTCTCCCATGCTTCACTTGGTGTAGAGGATGACCATTCTTTCCCTGACTGACAGCAGCTGTGTGTTTGTGATGTAATATTCATAATGTGTCACATAGTAATACATCAATTTGAGCATAATGCAGATTTTATGTCTGACAGGGTTAGGCGAGCTCTCAGGTCATAGCAGGACTGGCCTTGGGCTATGCACTTCTCAGACTGCGCCGTAAGAACAAAAAATAAAAAATGCGACCTGCTTCATAACGCGGTGAAATATAGCTCGCCTCTTTGCGCTCTTTCAATTAGTCAAATGAAATTAACAGGCGTAAGTACACTCGGCTGTATTTTACAGCAGTCGCTCGGCTCATTCATCATTGTTTACTTCTGGGGCTCGGGGAGGTTTTTTTCCCCCTCCCTTTAGCTGAAGAAGTACAGCCCTCGACACAGCGACAGCCATCTGCGGTAAAGGATGTATGTCCTGTCTCTCTGGAATGCTCCTCCAGCCCATGCTGTCTGTGATTGCATGTTTGTCTCTTGACATCATGACGTGTGTGTGGGCTTAAATATCTGTGTTTGCTGAAGATCAGAAAGTTAAGGGCCAGTTTTGCCTGGGGTGCTTTAAACAACACTTGCTGCAGAGCTGCTCCAACCATCTGTTAGATCAGCACAAACAATTTCACAATCATCAGGAAAACACCTGCATATGTCCCGCTAACAGTCGCTGTTATTATGTTTGTTTGTAATTGAATCTTAACAGTAAACAAAGCGTACCCACACCACACTGCTCCCAGTCACTCCAGAGGAATTTGTTACATAAAGTTAATAGTTGTTTTGCTAAGACAAGTATGCCTCTTACTGCTGCACATAGTTAAGGTTAGGGATTTAAACAAAATAACTCTTAAATATTCCCCTCTCTCTATACACACACACACACACACACACACACATCATACAAGTTTGGGATCAGCAAGATTTTTAATATTTTTGAAAGAGGTCTCTTATGCTCACCAAGGCAGCATTTATTTGATCAAAAATGCTTGTGATATATTATTACAATTTAAAATAGCTGTTTTCTATTTTAATATATTTAAAATGTATTTTATTCATGTGATGGTAAAGCTGAATTTTCATCAGTGATTACTCCAGTCTTTAGTGTCACATGATCATTTAGAAATCATTCTAATATGCTGATTTATTATTAAATTTTTTTTCTTTATTTTTCTTAAAGAAATTAATACTTTTATTCTGCAAAAATGTTAAATTGATAAATCTATTTTATTTTTTTTTTACTTTTTATTCATCATTGAATCCGTGTGTGTGTGTGTTATATGTCAATTATTTGTATAAATATATGTAATTAGTGTTAATTATTAATAATTATATGTATTTTTTTTTCCTCACCAAACTTGTTTTTCATTGCTTACTGTGTACAAACAAGTGCTGTCGATTAGAATAAAATAATTATGATTATTCTTTGATTTCTAGGTAGGTTTAGAGAGCAAAATGAAAAGAAAAAGTAATATACAATTTGGTAATGAAACGTAATGAATTTATATCAGGTTCATACATGACCCAAATAAAAATACATTTACATTTTTTTATTAAAAAAAACAAAACAAAAAAAAAACATAGCAACACCCTGGCAAGCACCACAGCATGGATTCGTAAGTAAAACTCGTGTTTTCTTCAGAATATGTACAAAATCTAGATTGCTATATTGTTGTACATTCTAATTTGCAAAAACGGTGCTTACGTGCACAAGACACACATTTGGGTGTTTATGCAAATGGAGTTTAACTCTGAATAGATGCGGTGGAAAACACATCCCTGCACGTTTTTGATTCAGGCTTATCTTAATAGGATCAATCTGCATTTGTGTTCTCTGTGATCCATCAGGAATAAACACGTAGCATGGGTTCGCCTTCGTCCTTCATCATTGTCATCATCATGGGTTTGTTGCTGGCTTTTGCATGAGAGCTCGGTTGGAAATCTGTCACTGCCCATATACACATCTGTTCACACCCTCCACTTAGTGTCTCTCTCTCGGTCTGTCTCACTCTCTCCGTCTCTCTCTCTTTCTATCTCACTCTCTGTTTGAAGTCTTGACATGCCTCTTCCTCCATTCCAGTCAGCCTGTGAAAGAATCTGTTGTCATCTATGTATTCCTGCTATTATCTCACGTCATTTTCTCTCCCTGAATGAAAGACAGAGAGTGTGTGAAAGCGTAAAGAGATATCTGTGAAGCTACAGAAATGACAGCTTGGCAGATTCTGTCAATGTGGGCTTTTTATCTGTTTATGTGTTGTACGTATTTTACATATTTTGAAGGTAATTATCTATTTACAAATATTGCTATGGTTAATTTAACGCATTTTGAATGAAATGTTCATTTAAGTTTTGTTTTATGTGGTTGACTTTCAGACTCTCATTTAAATTAGTAGAGTTCACTTCTTCGTCATTTAAAACTGCTGTCATGGGGGATTTTGATTTATTTTATTATTATTGTTTTAATACTTCTGTAATTATAGTTTTAAGAAATTATAGATTTTTATATTATATTTTGTATAGATTCGGTTAATATTTTGTATTAGATTGTACTTTAATTTTAAAATATTTTAAAATATTTAAATAGTATGTTTTAATCCCTACATGTTTTTTATTATTACGCTTTACTTTTATTTATTGTGATCTGTCTGTCTGTCTGTTTTCTTTCTTTTCCATGCAAGATACGTACTTCCTAAAATTTAAAGGCAGCTTATTTTCATGTGTACAGGCCCATTTTACTGTGAGCATATTATAAAAAAAACAAAATTGAAGTATACTAAAGGCAAAACAAATTACTGAAATATTATCTTAAAATATTTACAATTACTGGATTATATAAGAAACATTTGCTTCCTTCCAAACGAACAAACAAATAAAAAATAAACAAACAAATAAATATCACATTATGACATTGTATGTGGTTTGGTGTTTTCTAATGTTGTTGTTTTATTTTTATCTATTTATTTATTGAACTGTTTTAATGTATTTTCAAAAGTATTAAAATTAAATTATGAAAACTGCAGCAAAACAACATAAAATGTTACTTTTGTAACCTGTGATCTGGCATACTGGCTGAATAGTTAAATCTGCTTTGTATTTTTTTTTTTTTCAATCTGTAGGTACTTTGTGCTACATAAGCTGACAAAGCTGAAGTTCCTGGACACCAGGAGAGTGACCCAGTGGGAGTGGTCAGAGGCCGAAGCACGTGGAGCTTTCATGAAGGTGGTCAAGCCGAAAAATGACCAAGTAAGTGCTTTGATTTTACTAGAAAGACCAAGACACATACAGGATCAACAGACAGTTGAGATAATCTGAGATAACTGACTGTGTATCCCAGATTTAGATACCTAAAATGCTCTGTGGTTTAGCGTATAACCCAGCAGCCGGTTAAGCATTTTTACCTTATATAATGTGGCCGAATAACTACACAGCCTGACCCTGTAAATGATTTGTGTAACCCTCCCCTTTCTGTGCAGATGACTATAAGAACTTAAAAGGCTAAGGTACCGTAAACTAATCCATCCCACTCCTTCTTAGCTTCCATTGTTTGTTCGTAGCAAATTGTCAGAATCTTTTAAGAGGTTACTTGTACGCAGCTCTTTGAAGACGTGGCCTTTCAATCTCGCATGGCTGTTTAGAGGAGGGTCTTTTTAATGACCACGACCTGACCTCTTTCTGTATGCATGAGCCCAGATCAAAGTGGACAGCGCCTGTCCGATCGGCCTTGCTTCGCTCGGCGTGACAGCGCTCTCGATCGGAGTGACTGCTCACGTTCACGACAGTCACCATCGCTTAATTATCCATCGCACACACAATTATTTCTCTCTCGCTCGCGTTTCAAGGAGGCGGGCAGAATCCTAGTCTTCTAACACATCTCCATTCTCTTTAGAGTTTATGAAGGAATGGTTTTAGTAAGATTTGATTTCATGTAATTGGGCAGTCATAAAATATTTAGCTTGTGGTCGAACCAGGTCTTTATATTCGCTACTTCCCGAGAGTTAGAGAAGCAAATAGGGATGTGGATGCTCATATAATTTGATGCAGAGTTTAAAAAGAACAGAATATTTATCACAGTCAACATTCAGACAAAGTAAGCTGGTATTTATTTTGTTTGCATGACGCTGAAGTCACTTATTTTGCTTCAGCATTAAAGTGACAGAAAAAGTGAAAAGCATGCACTGAGTTAACCTCATTCAGGCATGTTTTAAGTTTGAAGGGTATTTTGTTGGTTGGAAAATGAGAAAAAGCTGATTGGAGAACGGAATATAAAGTGTTGTGCATCCTGTCCACTCAAATAAGACAAGACATTTCAGGACATGCCATTTTGAGAGTGATGGAGATGAATAAATGATCACATGTGAAGCAAGTAAAACAATTTCCAATAAAACTGTAACGTAATGACACAGTAGATCCATTTTAAGCACAACCATTGAGCAGTTCCAGCATTTAATTCTAAGCGGGCATGCTGTTGAAATAGTCCACTGTCAATATCTGGGAACCAACACAGTGTTTATGGATTTTGTCGTTTTAAGTTATGCAGAGTTTGCGTCTAATCCAAAAGTTTACCCGAAGTAATCCAGGACATTTTAGAAACCGTGTTAATCTTTTACAAAGCGTTCTGTTTTTAAACATGGTAATTGTATAATGCAAACCTGACATTTTCCCATTTTTGGGGCAGATGAGTGCAGTATTGAATAGGCATTACAAAAAAAGGGCATTAGACGACAATAGTTTGTTTTATTTTGGCCTACAGTCAACCGTGATCCAATTTGTAATTGAGTTTGTCACTCTGTCTGAGGTAGATTTAGAGGATGTTCACACAAAACGTGTCTGCGCTGTTTTAACGTTTTGGTCTACATAAACATGCAAATTTGCATTTTAACCAGTGCATCATGTTTTATTTTTTTCTGTATCTAGACCCATGAACATCTAAACATATTACAAATCATTCCTAACATGCAGAGCTGGGTAGATTACTTACAAATTGTAGTCCATTACAGATTACATGATGAAAACTGTAGTTAGTAACTAGGGATGCACCGATACTGGTATCGGTATCGGGCCCGATACTGAGCTCCTGTACTCGTACTCGTACTCATTAAAATGCCCCGATACCAAACGCCGATACCACACAGCATGTGATAAGTGCCATATTCAGACAATAATGTACAAATGCAATAAAAATATTGGTATCGGTACTCGGTATCGGCAAGTACCAAAAATAAAAGTATCGGTATCGGGCGAGTACTGGAAAAGTGGTATCGGTGCATCCCTATTAGTAACGTAATCTAGGTTACTCGTTTTAGGCAATGTATTCTTAGTACTTTTTAGATTACTTTTTATCAAACATGTTTTAAAGTTACCATAAATTTACCACATTCATGAAAGAAAGAAATACATTTCAAGTAGGCTAAATATTTTTAAGGGTTTGGCTGACAAAAAGCTTGCATCATTGTTTGTTTCATGCATGGTCTAATTGCTTGAGATGTGCTATTTTCCCTCAAACTCAGAAGCATGGTTTGCAAATTTATTTACACAACATTTGTGAAAATAGTCAAAGGTATGATACAGTAGGATTTTTAGAAAGGATCATTTAAAAGAGGAAAAAAAAAGAATTAGGGAGAATCAAATTATGAATGATTTACTGCCATATGTAATCATGCAATCCAATCCATAAATATGTAACTGTAATCTGATTATGCGATTTTTAAATGCAATATACTCTAATTACAAGTACTTATTTTTTGTAATCTGATTATGTAATCCAGATTACATGTAATCCATTACCCCCCAGTACTGCTAACATGTCACGCTTATGTATATTTTTATTATTCTTTTTTTGAATATAACTGTATTTTTTATGCCTTTGTTTGTATAATATGTTCAATATTGTGAAGCGAGACAATTTTCCACATTGTGAATTACATTTCAGTTAACTTTACAATTAAGTTCAGTTCATTAACATTCAGTGAACTAACTTGACTTGTACAGCATTTATCATTCAAGGTTAATGTTAATTTATAAATATACTGTTGTTTATAGTTAATTCATGTTTCATGTTTCAATTAATATTCATTTATCAAACTTGAAATACAACTTTGGTACAAGTTTATGCATTTATTTTATTAGTATGTATAATTTTCTATAATATTAGTAAATGTTGAAATTAAGATTAACAAATGCTTTATAAGTGTTTTTATTGTTAGTTTGTTAATGTCTTTAATGTTAACAAATATAGAAATTAATGTTAACTTAGATTAGTAAATTAATTGTACCGAAGTTAAACCTGATTGTAAAGTGTTAAAGTTTCTAAAGTCTGAAAGTCTACAGTAAAAGGACAAGAATATCTCTGGCCTGCCCACTGTCAGACACTTGAGCAGATGAAACAGACTCTGCTGTAATGCTGTAAGGCTTCTGTCCTCTCCACAATAACTGCTATTGTAGTGAGAGGGAGAAAGTTGGCCGTGCTCTAATGTCCCATGTCTGTGCCTGGCGCAGCTGGCACGCCAACATTTGCCTAGCATTTGTTTTGATTTAGATGAGACATGATGTGGCAGCCATAACAAGCTCTGTGGGGCATGTGTACTCTCTGTCTCTAATTGGCTTCATCATCATGCCGATTGTCTACTGATCAATAGTGCAGGTCACCAATTAATGAGTGCCAGCGACGAGCGAGAAGATGATGGCATAATTAGTTATTTGTGTTTGCTTTTATTCTTCATCCAGTGAGGTGTCTTGCGTTTAAAGACATGCTGCTGTTAACATTGTTACAGCAGACTGTAATTAGCTCTTCCTGCTTTCCAAATTTGCCATCAAACCGGAGTCCTGTACCGACAGCTTGCTGTTGTAGAATTGTGGTAGTCTTTGAATGTCTCATCTATGCCTGTCTGTAAGGGTTTTACCCACTGTTTCCTCTGTCTGTTCAGTTTTGCGTGTTGACAGAAAGAAAGAAATATCTGAAATATATTTGTTCTATTTATTTCTATATGTTAGTGGGGCTGTATGAATATACTGTTATATAGTGTAAAACGACATAATAATGCTCAACACAGATTTATGAAACAATTACTGCAAGCTCAGGCTTCTTTTAATTTATTTAAAAAAAAATTTACCTGTAAAATGAAATCTAATATGATTGTCAATGTGCTTTGTTTCTTTGTTGCTTTTTCTTTATAACACACACACTGTTGTCCTATGAAAGAGCTTGTTTGAAATCAAGTTGCCTAAACAGCAATTTACATTTAACCCCTTGGCTGATCAGGAATGTAACCTGCTAGGGGTGACCCCGAATAGTCGAAGATTCGATGCTTCGATAGGAGGAGCCTGATTCGACTACCAATCTCACAGTCGAATATTCACTGAGGTGTTATGATCATGCCATTTTGGCTATAAAGGGGTGCTCAAATGTCTGATTTCACATAGAACTACCGGTTTTCTCCCAATAAGTTAATATACAGCCTATTATGATAATGCTGTAAATAAGAATCTGAAAAGAAAGAAGCTTTAAATAAATATTTTAACGTGCGTGAATAAATCCAACCACCCCTATGGATTTAAGTTAAGTTTCCCTTTCCATTATCCATGACCGACAGAGGAGCATCTTGGCGGCAGGGATTTAAAACTTTAACAAGACTCAAACTGACACAGACAGAGTGAAAGACTGAATTTTTTCGATCAGGTAGGGTACAAGTGATTTCAAAACATTTCAGCCGGTTATATATATCGTGAATATATTATTTATCTCGTATAAGATGCATTTAGTTGAGTTACGCTGCAGTAAAGTGCTTCATTGTAGTACTACGGTGATTATCTCTTCAGCGCGCAGCGCGTGCAGGACAAACAACAATGCAGAACATTAATAACTATGACTGGGACTGTCATATTTATAACATTTTAATGAGAACACTATACTGTGAATTTTTAGAGTTTAGTTGCCGTGTTGTTGCACGTTGTTGCGTGAAGAACGCGTCCACAAAAGGAGTTCATTCAGAGCTGCGCAGTTCTTGTGCACTCGAGGCATTTTGTGCAGATAGCCTATAAGTCGTAATATTAACGTTATGTTGAATAAATAACGAATCGTAAGTTAAATGAGTTAAATCCCATTGATTAAACACCTGCTATGCTTCATTTTACTGGTCATCTTCAGCGTGCGCAGCTCAAAACAGAAAAGCAGAACATTAATAACTAATTATAAAAGTGTTGTGAATTCTTAAGGTTCCGCTGACGTTTAATGTTAACTATCTATT